AGCAGCAGGTGTCAGCAGCAGCAACAACAACAGCAGCAGCAGCAGCAGCAGCACCAGGAGAAGACGCATCAACAGCAGCAACAGCAGCAGCAAGAGCAGCAGCAGCAGCAGCAGCAGGATGGCACATAGATACGAAATTAATTGGTATATCTTTGTCTCTTCTTATTAATAGTTATAAACAAATGAGGATTTATCCTTTGGGGCTTTTTGCTGCAGCAGAAGCAGCAGCACATTTACATTTGCATGCGCTCTCCCTGCAGCAGCTATCCGTCTTATGCTGCTCATTTGCTGCTGCTGCTGCTGCTGTTGGACCTGCTGCAGCACCTTCTGTCTCCTTTATGCTAGCTGTAGCTGACTATTGTGTTGATGCAACAACAGCAGCAGCAGCAGCAAAAGACCCATCTGCTGCTGCTGCTGCTGGTTCCCCCTCCTGCAGCAGCAGCATCTTTTTTGCTCTGCCGCCCAAACTGGAAGCAGCAGCAGCAGCAGCAGCAGGAAAGTCTAGAGGAGGAAAGCCAGCAGCAGGAGCAGGAGCAGGTGCAGGATCTCCTGCTGCTATTGCTGCTGCTTCTGCTGCACCTGCTCCTGCTGCTGCTACTGCTGCTGCTGCTGCTGCTTCTGCTGCTGCTTATTACCATTTTGTCTCCTGGTGTCATCTTCTTGCTGCCTTTGCTCGCTGCTGCATCCCTCATCGTGGTGTCTTTGAGGCAGCAGCACCATATTTATGTTTGCTGCTGCAGCAGCACCCCACACATTTGCTGCTGCTGCAGCAGAAACAACAGCAGCAACAGCAAATGTTACAGGCCACCAGCAGCAGCAACAATAACAGCAGCAGCAGCAGCAGCAGCAGCAGGCAGATTGTTACTCCTGGTGCTCTTGTAACAAAAGCTATTAAGGCCTATGCAACGTATGTGTTAACAACCCCACCTAGTAACACCTTGCTGCCTATACACTCCTTATAACTGTATATTAATCTGTTGCTGCTGCTGTTGCTGCTGCTGCTGCTGCTGCATGCAGGTTCGGCTACGTTCATCGCCGTTTGCTGCGGTGTGTCTGCGATAGTTTATCTTCTATTTATTATACAGATCAACAACTAGAGGTAAGGAGAGACACTTGCCGCTGCTGCTGCTGCTGCTGCTGCTGCTGCTGCATCTGCTTCTGCTCTATCTGCTGCTGTATCTGCTGCTCCATCTATGGCTGCTGCTGCTGCTGCTGCTGCTCAGACACTACGAGACAGCATGGCTCGCCTGAAGTACAATGATCCGCTGCTGGAGATATTAGCGAACACTCGCCTAGGCAGCAGAAAGACACCCAACAGCAGCAGCAGCAGCAGCAGCAGCAGCAGCAGCAGCAGGTAAAACAGCAGCAACACTTTTTAAGGCAGTGTGTAACCCATGCGGTGCCCCGCACGGTAGCCGCAGCAGCAGCAGCAGCAGCAGCAGAAGCAACAGCAGCACCGTAGGTTAATATGTCCAGGCAGGAGGCTGAAGGGAGGAGACAGCATTTGTTGCTGCAGCAACAACTTTGCTGCTGCTGCTGCAGCAGGCAGCAGAAGCAGCAAACGCTGCAGCAGAAGCAGTAGTTTGCTGCTATACCGTATAGATCCATAGCACAGAGCAATGCAGCAGCAATAGCTGCCGTGCAGCAGCAGCAGCAAGTTGCTGCTGCTGCTGCTGCTGCTGCTGCTGCTGCTACTGTAGACCCTGGAGACAATTGGTGTATCTGCCGCATGCATTGGAGTGTATAGACAGAGACAACTGTCTCTCTTTTTCTTTTTTATTGTTTTTTTTTCTTTCTTTGGCTGCTGCTCCTTTCGTGCTGCAATTGCTGCAGTTGCTGCAATTGCTGCAGTTGCTGCAGTTGCTGCAGTTGCTGCTGCAGCTGCTGCAGCTGCTGCAGCTGCTGCAGCTATTTTTAATGTTGTTTCTAGCAATATATATAATATATATTATATAAATAATATATATAATATAATATATACATATATTTATATATTTATGTATATTTATATATATAATATATATATAATAATATAATAATAAAAGTATAACTTTTCTTAATGTTGTCTACAACAGCAATGAAATACAATAAAGCTGCTGCTGCTGCTGCTGCTGCTGCTGCAACCGCTGCTGCTGCTGCAGCTGCTGCTGGTGCAGGCTTCGCAGCATGGCATGCATGCAGCGATATATCCTCCGAGGGACAATTGAGGATGCATGCAGCTGCTGCTCTATTTGCTGCTTCCCTCTAAGCAGCAAGAGACAAAAGCTACAGTTATTAACTGCAGCAGCAAAAACTGCAGCAGCAAAAACTGCAGCAGCACCTTCAGCAGCAGCAGTAACAGTTCGTTGCAGTTCCTGCTGCAGCGGTAGTTTGCCGGTAACAGCAGCAGCAGCAGCAGCTGCTGCTGCTGCTGGTACATTATCCCTGATATTACCTGCCAGCGTATCGTCTATTAGCACCGCTGCTGCTGCTGCTGCTGCTGCTGCTGCTGTTGGTTCTGTTGGCAATATTATTAGGAGCACAGCTAGTGCTACAACTCCTCTTAATTTGTTTATTATTTTGCTGCTGCTGCTGCTGCTGCTGCTGCTGCTGCTGTTGCTGTTGCTCCTTATAACTATTTAATTGCTGCCTAAGTAATTGATTTCTTTTTATTCTTTTTTTTTCTTTTAGCAGCAAATAACGAAAGTTTTGCTGCTCTCTTTCTAATTCCCTTCTTACTGTTGCCATTTGCTGCAGCAATTTACGCTCATGGTAGGCTTGGATTGCACGCTGACGCTCCAGCTGCAGCAGCAACAGCAGCAGCAACAGCACCAGCAGCAGCACCAGCAGCAAAAGAGTAGCAGCAACAGCAGCAAAACCAGCACAAACAGCAGGCATAACGTACTGTGATGCAGGAGAAGAAGTTTCTTTTCCTTAACTGTTTATCATAAGGAACCCTGTAGTTACCTAGCTAGCTAGCTAGCTAGCTAGCTAACTGTCTGACTAGCTAGCTAACTAGCTATATACTTATTTGTCTAGTTGACTGATCTATTGTTTGTGCTAAAGGGAAGGGAGAGACAGCAGAAAGGGACTTCTACAGCAGCAGCAACTGCAGCAGCAGTAGCAGCAACAGCAGCAACGACAGCAACCGCAATAAGAGGACAGGGAACGCACAGACACCTGCTGCAACAGCAATAGCAATAGCAGCAGTAACAGCAGCAGCAGCAGCAGCAGAAAAAACAGCAGCCTGTCACCTGCGCTGCTTGGGCAGCTTTTATCCGATGCTGCTCTTCTAAGGCCTGCAGCAACAACAGCAGCAGTAGCAGCAACAGCAGCAACAACAGCAGCAGCAGCAACAGCAGCAACAGTATGCTCTCTCGTAGTTGCTTCTCTTTTGTTGTTACTCAAGGTGTACTTGTTGCTCCTGCTTCTGCTGCTGCTGCTGCTGCTATTGCAGTGTTGCTGTTACTCCTGCTGCTGCCGCTTATATTGCTGCTGCGTTTCGTGCTGCTGCTGTTGCTGCTGTTGTTGTTGCTGCTGCTTTTGCTGCTGCTGCTGCTGCAAAAAGATAAGGGAGTTTGTTACTCTTCCTTACCGCGATGGTTTTGAATCCTGTGGCTGGTTGCCTGAGTTGCTGCTGCTGTTGCTGCAGCAGCAGCAGCTGCTCTGGCTGCAGCAGCTGAATAGTAGGGGTTGTGTTACCTAGTGGGGTTGTTAAGGAAATAGAGAAGTGTCCCTTCTTGCCATCCCATTGCTCTTTTATTGCTGCTTGCATGCGCTCAGCAAGTGCTGCTGCTGCTGCTGAACTTGCATCTCCTGCTGCTCCTGCTGCTGCTTCTGCTGCTTCTGCTGCTGTTTCTCCTGCTGCTAATGGGGACGCGTCCTCTCCAACGTCTTCGGCTCCTGCTGCTGCTGCTGCTTCTTCGCAGCATGCAATTGCAGCAGCAATGTCGCGTGGTGTCTTCGGCACTTCGTCCTGTTGCTGCTGCTGCTGCTGCTGCTCTTCCTGCTGCTGCTCCTGGCTACCGTCTACCATTGTTCGTGGGGTTTTACCTTGTTCCTGTTCAGTCTGTTGCTGCTGTTGCTGCTGCTGAGCATCCTCACCGCCAGTGGGTGCAGCAGCAGCAGCAGCACCACCACCACCACCACCAATAGGATTAGCAGCAGCAGCAGCAGCAAGTCTTAGAGGCAGCAGCTGTCTGTAGCTAACGCATGCGCTGCTCTTAAAGGACTTGGGGACCCTTCGTGCTGCAGCAGCAGGGCTGCGGTAGGCGCAGCAGGAAAACATGCCGTTGCTCCTGCTGCTCTTTTTTGCTTTTGTGTCTCCTCTGCGTGCTGCTGCTGCACCCGAGTCAGCAGCAGCAGCAGAAGAAGAAGATGCGCCGGCTGCAGCGGGCGCTGCTGTTGCATCCTTCGAAGCAGAAGATCCATCTGCTCCCTCAGTGTTGTCCTTAGGAGCAGCTGCTGCATCTGCTGCTGCATCTGCTGCTTCTCCTGCTGCTTCTTTTGCTGCTGCAGCTGCTGCTGCCTCCGCATCCTGCTTCTGCTCTTGCTGCTCCTGCTGCATCAGTCTATCGAATTCCTCTCCTGCTGAATCATTCACGCTTCTAGGGGATACAGACCCCGATGCTGCAGGACACCGCATGCAGCAGCAGCAGCAGCAGCAGGCTGTAAATGCGTGAGCAGCAGCAGCAGCAGCAGCAGCAGCAGCGACAGGAGCAGCAATAGCAGCAGGCGACGTACACGACTCGAGGGAGAGAGAGTCCTTCCAGCATGCAGCAGGAGACGCATCAGCAGCAAATGCCTCTTTGCTGTTTCTTCTTGGTCCCCCCCTCTGACGACGCAGCAGCTGCTGCTGCTGCTGCCTCTGCTGCAGTTGCTGCTGCCTGTGTTCATGTGTATGTCTGTGTGGGGGAGGGTTTGGTGGCATGAGCAGCAACTGTCTCCTTCTCTGTTGCTCCTCCTTCTCCTCCTTTAGCCGCTGCAGTGCCTCCTGCTTCTTTTGCTGCTGCTGCTGCTTCTGCTGCACCTGTCTCCATGCATCCGCCTTTGCTGCAGCAACCAGGCGCTGGTACCAAGGCCTAAAGTGCTGCAGCTCTTCTTGCTCGAGCATCTTAGAGAAGGTGAGGCGCAGCAGCAGCAACCGTAAGGAGGCAGCAGTACTGCTGCTTATGTTGCTGCTGCAGCTGCTGCTGCAGCTGCTGCTGCTCAAAAACGAAGCAGCAGAAGGGGCTAAGTCCAGCCATAGAGTGTCTCTTGTCTTAAGAAAAGGACCAAAGGGACCATCACATTTCTGCTGCTGCTGCTCTCCCTCTTCCTGCTGCTGCTGCTGCAGCTCAGGGATTGCTAGGGAACAGACACTGCAGCTTGTTGCTGCGCTGCTGCGCACTGCAGCAGCACGCAGCAGCAAACGGCGGTATAGACACTCAACAAGGGACTGAATGTTTGCCTCCTCTACTGCCCCCAGCAGCTTGTCAGTCTACACAAACAGCAGCAGCAACAGCAGCAGCAACAGCAGCAACAGCAGCAGCAGCAGCAGGATAGGAGGAGCCACGAGTACGACGTACGCTAGGCAGTTGCTTGATAAGGAGCTAATATATAGCCAGCCACCTAGTTAGCTAGCTAGCTAACTAGCTAGCTAACTAGCTAGCTAGCTAGCTAAGGCTAAGGCTATACCCTTAGGGAGCGACTTCGACAACTTTACGCTATCGGTAGACAGACAACCGTTTGTCAGCTAGCTGGCTCTCTAGAAACCTTGGCTAGCTAGCTAGCTAGCTAGCTAGGTAAATATCTTGCCTTAAGGAATTGGCTGAGAGATAAGACCATCTTTTGTGCATGGGGAGGAAGAGGAGGAAAAACACCAAAAAAAAGATCCAACCCCCAACGGGATATGCTGTCTCCTGCTGTCTCTTGCTCCTGATGCAGCAGCAGCAGCAGCAACAGCAACAGCAGTAACAGCAACAGCAGGAACAGCAGTAGTAGTAGTAGCAGAAGTAGTAGCAGTAGGAGTTGCAGCAGCAGTAGTAGGAGTTGCAGCAGCAGCAGCAGTAACAGCAGCAGCAACACCTTGGGCGCAGGGGAATTGCTGCAGTGTCTTGCTCAGTTGGCTCTGGCCGCTGTTCCCCTACTGCTGCTGCTGCTGTTGCTGCTGCTGCAGTTGTTGTTGTTGCTGCTGCTGCCACAGTGTGCTGCTGTCTTCGTGTCCTGTTGTTGCAGCCGCTGCAGGTGCTGCAGCTGCTTACCATTGTCCCCACACTGCTGCAGCATCTTGCCTCCAAGCCTTCCTCAATAATATATATAAAGTGTCTCCTTTTTGTCTTCTTTTTTTGTCTTCTTGTTGTGTCTCCTATTTGTGTCCCCTTTATTTGTTGTTGCTTCTTCTTTTTTTGCTTATTTGCTGCTCTATACGAGCAGCAATTAGTTGTTTTTATTCGTAGTGGGGGATAGCAGTAACAGCAGCAAACAGGGCAGCAGGAACAGTCTCTACTGCTGCTGCTGCAGCAGCAACAGCAGCAAACACAGCAGCAGCAACAGCAGCAGCAGCAGCAAGTTGTTACTGCTGTACGATTTAGCAGAACACTACAGTCTTACTCGTGGTGTCTACTCCCCTCTTTTTGCAGCCAACTATTGATGTTTTGCTGCTGTTGTTCCTGCTGCTGCTGCTGCTGTCGCTGCTGCTGCTGCCGCCGCCGTCGTAAGCCTGGAGGGCCAGGAGAGCAGCAGCAAAGCAGCAGCTGTGCATGCACTGCAGCAGCAGATATGTTCCCTTCCCTACTTATTTAGCATTTCTCTCTACTTGTCTCTTATATTTCCATAGCAGCAACAGCAGCAACAGCAGCAACAGCAGCAGCAGCAGCAGCAGCAGCTGCAGGTGACCTCAGCCCGAGTGCTCGCGCTGCTGGCTGCAGCCCTTCCCCCCAGCCCCCCATTAGCTGCAGCAAAATAAACAATTAAAAGAAATAATAAAAGAGGAGACACATATTTTTAGTGTCTCCTTTTTTGCTGCTTATTAGGGTATAGCGGCAGCAAGACAACTGCCTCTGCTGCTACAGCTGCTATGAAACTGCTGCTGCTGCTGCTGCTGCCGTATCGGAAACTGCTGCTCTTAATGCTGTTGCTTGTTGTTGTGCTGCTGCTGTGACTTTTAAGACAACAAACTGGCTGTAGATAGCTGCATGCATGCCTGAGCTGCAGCAACAGCAGCAAAACCAGTAGCAGCAGCAGCAGCAAGACGGCTGTCTGCTGGCAGTTGCAGAGTCGACAGACGCCTAGGGCCCAACTGCATTTGTTAGCTGCAGCAGCAGACACAGCATCAGTAGCAGCAGCAGACACAGCATCAGTAGCAGCAGCAGCAGCAGCAGGCAAGACAGCTCAAGCAGCTGCACACAAAACGCAGCGATAGAAGCAGTAGCAGCAGCAGCAGCAGTAACAGCAGCAGCAGCAGCAGCAGAGACTATTGTTTCAGCAGCAAGCTATGTCTTAAGTACAAAAGATTGAAGGTCTACTGAATAAAACCTCAAT